TTTACAAAGGGTTTAAACCTTTCCAGACATCATGATCTTTGTGACAAGTTGGGCATGATTGATATCTATGCTCCAACTTGAGGGGGAGTGTTGACAGTTTATGTATTCAGGTTTAGTACTATAAGGGTACTGTTGGAATTTCTCCTCTGTTTATTTTGTTCGACTATACTAGTATAAATAATAAAATCATTCTTTCGCCCCCTAAGTTCTAGAGGGCTTTCAGTCACACGACTCACCTCTCTTCTCTCTTCTCCTTTCCTCTCTTCACTTGCTCTTGCTCAACAGACCTCATTGTGCACACTGGGATATTCTTATTCTGCACCTTCTGATTTCTCTACTGACTTAAAACTGGTTAGACCCTTAGCCTTGCCAATATACCATCAGTCCCTTTTTTACCACAGTTCCTCTTTCACTTCTCATAGTTTAGCAGGTAGAATATGACTTCTTTTGATATTTGGTAATTTCCTCTGCTTTGTCTGCAATGGTAGCCCATTATCAGTTTATTTTTGTCCCTTAACAGCAACTCCATATGTTCCTTTGATTGAGACAGTGTGAAAATGACTGTCGTTCTTCCTTGTTGAAGATGCGTCACTCTTTAATTATCAAAAATAATTGGATTTATCAGAAGAGATTCATACTCCATGGAGTTTTTGTTTTTGTTTTTCTTTTTTTCGTACTCCATGGAGTTGGATAAAAGGCAGAACAACCCTTCTGAGATGAACAGTTATATAGCATTTGCCATAATATATGCAAGTTTCAAAAAGCTTGTGTCTTGAAGTATGGAGCTTTGTCTGATTGCATCAATAACTTCCTCATGCTTCGAATGTTATGGGTTGGCTAGTTCCTCTTTTTAATACTGTTCTCTTCTAATTTCTTAACCCCCTCCAAAAGAAAGGAAAAAAAAAGGTAAAGATACCTTTTTTACCACACGATGCCAGTAAAGATCTATTTTATTGCCCCTTGTTAAACGATCACCTTGACCCTAGTCTCTTGCAACTTCATTAATATGCATCCTCAACATGTGCCAGCTCCAAGACTCTTGTATCACTTTTAAACCAAGATATTATGAGCCCAATATGTTTTGAGGAAGTTATTGCTCCTTTACTGATATGATGTATATAACTTAAATTATTATTATTTTTGGATCCATCTTGAAGTTGTAGTAGGATGACGAGTCCTTTTCTAAGGACTAGTCAACTACTTCTCGTTGTAAGCATGTCTTTGAAGTCAGATTAGTTAGATATCCTTGTAAGCATGCCTTTAAGGGTAAATTACTTGGATCAATTGATGAAAAATTTTTGAACTGGACTTTGAACTCGAGGATGGGAGTTTGTTAGATTTTTGTTGTTTTTTTACTGTTTGTATGTGTCTGTTTTTAAGATCTCTCTTGCAAGTTTTCTTCTCTGTCTCTGCAGTTGATCTCTTATTTGTTGCAGTCATTTGATCTTCAATATTTGTTGATTAGTTCCTGATTAGTCTAGATAGATTGTTGATGATTTCTTGAGTTCTTGCTACATTCTTCTCTTCTTGAATATTTGTGAACTTGGAAGTTAGAACTGCCTTAATTCCAAAGGGTAGAATTCTAACTAAAAACTTCTGTGGTCTTGAGCAAAAAGCTGAGCAAAAAGTCATTTTGGTTTTCTCTCCTTCATTTTATGAACAGATTAGTTAGCACCTTAAACCACTTAAGGATATCTAGTAATTTCTATGTAGAAATCTTCTTAAGAGCATAATAGTACAGTTTGAAGAAAAAATTCCGACTACTGTGGTGCTTTATGATTTTCTGTTGTTTCCTCTCTCATTTTCAATTGTGGTTTACAATTGTGCAGTAGCAGTACTGCTGCTATTGCTAATAGATATCTGCTAAAGGGAGGGTTTGCTTATATTGTAATCTGAGCCATCATGTTATTTATGACTGATCTCCTTTTCTGAAACTTCGCGGTTACTAGGTGGTTGATATCAGGGGGAATGATCTAGAAGCTGATACTTCCTCCTACCATTGCAGGTAAACTTGCTAAAGTGGGAAGAAATTGTAAAACTTTACCCATTTGGTTCTTTTTCCTTTTTTTTTTTTGTTTCTCATCTTCTTATTATGGTTGGCCTCAGTGTCATAAGGCATCTTCCCCTTGACATGATTGATCCATCCTTGGCAATTGGATTTTTTTGTCAAAACAAAGGTTTGACCTTCTGCATTTTGTCAAATTCAATGGTTTTCCCCCCTGATAGTCAAATAAGCTGTTCTTGACTTGTCATCTTTGACAAATTTGCAGATGATTTTAATGATTTCTGTGTTCGAGCTTCAAAACTTGCAGATGAATCAAATGGTGCTCCCTTATTCACGGTTGCGCAATCCCATAGTCCAACAAAACCCATTAACCATGAGGATGTGATGGTCAATAGAGGTGAAATCCAAGGGGATGATGCCATTGTACTCGGAAACCCTCCTAGTGATTCAGAGGCCCAATCACATGATGATGACTGGCAACTCCTTTGATCAAAGCCAAGGTGTGGATATTGGTCAAGGAACATCCGGGAGCCAGTCCCATGGTTTGTCTCTCCAACTTGTATCTCATCATATTTCCTTGTGGGTCTGCTTGGGAAGTGTACATGTATAAAGTATTACTCCATAATTTATTGATATTGATGTTATTGCCTTAGCTGAAAGGCATCATTATTCTTTTGCTGCTTATCTTCTGGTTCAGTTGTAGTTCTCTCTGTTAATTTTACTTGCGAATAAAGTATATTTGAGCACCATAGTTAGGATAAGCAAACTCAAGTTTTGGTAGATGAATTTGGTCCCATTGCCAGGACATATTAAGTTGTGTCATGCGTGCTCACAAGGCAAAGGTTAGCAAGAATGAGACAAAGTGATGTAATCTTGGTGTCTTGGTAGACATGTACACAATTGCCAAAGCAAGCAAAGCAGAGGATGATTTGATAATAAACACCAAATGTACCAACGAATTGTGTTTACCACCAGCTGGCAGCTGGTATAGCCGGCAGATGGGTGGCCTGAACCAAACTGCTTCTTCATGTTCAAGTCAGTCGGCAGCATGCCGGAAGTAATCAGTAATGTTGTCTGTCATCTCTGCATACTCCATTCCGACTGCCGTTTGGCATGCCATGCCTTCTGTGGGGAGGGAAGGCACCAATACCATCACCATGGTAGTCCTGTTGGCTACAACATGGGCCTCCACAGAATCCTCGAGTGACTGCATTAGAATGCCCAGCTCTTCTCGCCTCTGGCTTTTGAATGAGTTGATCTTCAGGCTACCGGGCAATTCCAAAATGCAATAACTTTGCTAATTTTGTACCAATAAAGAGCCCAGATCTCCAGCAAGCAAAAAAAAAACTCTGCTCACATTAACATAGCATCCAGCCACACATTGGGAATATCATATCTTTCGTACATTTGTCAAAACTCGTGGGGAGATGTTCCCAATGTGTGGTGGGATTCCCATGCTTTCACTGTGTGCTTGGTTTTTGCTTGAAGGAAATCCAGTCATGCCTTTAAAGGCCAAGCTCTTCTGATCATAAGAAACATACCTAGCGGCCTCATGGGAAGGCCTACTGGCAAAGGTGAGGTTTTGCATCCTGAGGACAATCCACACTTGCTATGATGTGGTTTTAACCCTGGGCTAAAACTGTGAATCACGGCCTTCGATGTTTTCTGTGGACCTACCTTGACATTAGACCTGTTCATGGGCCGGGTAGCTCGATGGGCTGGCCCGGCCCGGCCCGGCTTGATGTAAGTCGGGCTTGGACAAGATTTCAGGCCCATGGGCTCGGGCTTGGGCCTAAAATATTGGGCCCAATGACTTTTGTTCCAGGTTCGGGCTTTCTCAGATCCCGGCCCGAGTCCGAGCCCGACTTGATAATGTATTATATTAATAAAAATATATTTTATATAATAAAATATATATATATATATAATATTTTTCTTCTCTTTTTTCAAGTAATAACGAGACTTTTCATTAATTTTATGTTTTAAGGTCTTTTAGTATAAATAAAACAACTTTTAATTCAATTAAGAAGGAGAAAATTTTTTTTTTTTCCAAATTTCTAGTCGGGCTTGGTCTCGGGCCCAGGCTTTGGGCTTTATAGTTGGGCTGGGCTCGAGCTCAAGACTTAGGCCAAATGGTCAGGCCGGGCTCGGGCTCGGGCCTGAACATTTTCTGTTAATATAAAGGCAAAGCCCGGCCTGAACCCAGCCCTGCCCGGTAAATCTTGTCTAATCAACATTAACATTTTCTGTTAATGTAAAGGCAACTCCTCGTCTAATCAACAGCATTTATCCTTCCCCCCGTAAATCTTGTCTTCTACAAAGATTTATCCTCGTCTAATCAACTGCATGCCCTAGTGAAGCGGGAACTTGACCAGTAAAAAGGTTATTAGAAAGGTCGATGGTTTCAGTCCAAGGTTCAAAGTATCGTTACGTATCGGCCCGTATCAGCTGATGCGTATCGTTCCTGGACCCTTCCGATATACTCCTACAGTGGATGTATCGGGAGTCTGACCGGTTCAGGGGAAGGAGGGGTCCTAGAATGGCTCCCCTGAACCAGTTTTGAAAAAAATAATAAAAAAAGTAAAAAAATAAGTATCGAAATGCGGGCGTATCAATATTTTGAACCTTGTTTCAGCCAATATAAGGGAAGTCTTTGAGAGCAGCATTGATGGCTCTAATACAGGGTTTAAAATTGTTGCAACAACAGGGGCTAAGAGGTGTACTAGTGGAGGGAGACTGTCACAAGGTAAATTTATCCAAATTTCCTAATATATATTGAAAACTCATTTCTATGCATCTCAACAACAGATTTCCTAATATAAATTTATCCAGGAGAATAGAGTTTGTGAAACCTATCTTACTGAAAATTAGTGTTTGGTATTATAATCATCAGTCTTATCCCACTTAAGTGGGATTGGAAGCATCAGTAAAATTACTTTATTTTGGTATATGAAAGGCCATATGATACCACTATCATCAACAACAACAAAAACGACAACAATTTCATTTTGTAGGCTAAGAGATATTTTGTTGAAGATAGTCAAACCTTCCTAGATATTCATGGGAAATTATCAATATATTCCCAAGATTTTACCATGTTTAGATTGTCTCTGTCTTTCTGTCTTTCTCCCCTCAGGCCTCAACTTGGCTTATGTAGCTTGAACAAGTTTGTGCTACATCAATCCTGTTTTGTCATTCCGTTCTATCAAAGGCCATATCCATTGACCATTATTAAATTGTAAGCCCCAAAATAATTTCTCACCACCTCAACCAATGTCCTTTTATGCCTGATCTTGTCTCATCTTGGTTCAGGCCCCTTGCATCAAATTGCTTCTTATTGGTGCAGCAGGCAGTCTTCTATGTATATATCCAAACCATTTCGGTTTGTTATCCCTTATTTTTTCACCTACTGGACTAGTAATCTCTCTCCTATACTTTCACAAGGTAAAAATCTTACCAATCAAGGAGCAAAAAAAAAACAAAAACTGCTCATAGAATGTATTTCCTTCACTAATTCCCTTATAAAAGTTTCCATTGTATTTATAGACTCATAAAGTAGAAGATGCTAATTATAATAGAATATTGACTTCTAGGTTAAGAAAGAAGGCTTAGATGTGTAAAATTACAAGTCTAACTTGAAAAAAAAAATTTTAGACCCAAGCATAGCATTAGGACTGAAAATGCAAGCCCAACTTGTGTAAAATTACAAATTGAATCTATTCAGGCTTGAGTTGGGCCCATCCATGTTGCAGCCCTAATCATTTTGAATTAGGTATTCAGGCTTAGATGATGCTTGCCGAAATTGGCTCCTGGATGTTCAGTATATGGTTTAGACCACCAAATCAAACCAAAATTGGTGGTCTGAAAGAGATTTTGAGGAATGCATTTTTGGGAATGATGCAAATGATGAGTTCAGATGAAGATGGGAATCACTTACAAGTTTATATGATCTACAGGACAATGAATGGCTTCAAATGCTTTATCAAAATCGCCATAAATGGGTCCAATATATATGAAGGGTAAATATTTTGCAAGCATACTTTTGAGCTGAAGTTCAATTGTAGAAGATGAAATGTAAGAATGACATCGTATTATAGATGTGAGATTTTTGCTTTTAAACATTTATTTTGTGATTTTTGTTTGTTCATGTGTTTTTCTTTTTTTCATATTTTCTCCATATATGCACTTGGTAGCAGGTTGCCAATGTGTGTATATGTTGAAAATATATAATTAGTGGATGTTTTTGAGGTTCTTTTAACAAGGGCAGAATTGAAAACTTTGATTAATTCCAATTCCAGCTTTTAGTTGAACCAAACAACAACAATTAGAATCTGGTTCCGATTCCTGACTAAACCAAACAGATGTCAGGAATGGGTGATTCTGATTCCGATTCTGGTCCTGTCCATGAACCAAATGCACCCCAAGTATTAGAGGTGTTCTCAATACATGACTGAAAGCTCTGTGAGGAGAAAATCTCTGGATTCTTGATTGAGAGGTGTTTCTCTCCTTGAATCTTTGCAATGCATAATTTTTGTATATCACACATATCAATTAATACTTTGAACCTCGGTTTGGATGCTATTAACAAACAATGCTACACTCAGGCCTAGGCCCACGATCACTCCTATACTGGGATTGGAACTTTGGAAGTAACCATTTTATAAGTATTTAGAATTCTCTCTTTCTTTTCTTTTCTTTTTGAGAAATCTCATAAGCTACTTCATTACACATTTACACCAAATCATTCAGGAATACAGGTCTAATAGAACTAGGAATGAGAAACTAAGTAATTGGTCTTTCTAGAAACAGTATAAGCATAGAAAGAAAGTTCCTACAATCAGCAATGCTCAAGATGATGATCCAACATGAGATTGACGATCTTCTGAGTGTCACACCAAGGTCTTGACTCGTGAGCCATCAGTTTGAATGCTTTTGCTTCAATAATTTCCTGGTCTCAGTTTGGAAGATCACAAATACGTAGATTGCAAAATTTTGTATTTTGTATTATTTTGCATGTATTTATACTCTTTTCAAACCAAGCCAATCTGATTTCTTTATACCAAAGTTCAAAATATTCTTTATACCCTTAAGTTTTAGGAAATTAATTTACTTGCATCCGTTAATGGAAAGATGGAAAAGACTATTTTATACATCATTCTTCTTTAAATTTTCAAAATGCAACATTTGAATAAAACCTTTGTGGTTTTATCCTCATGGAAAACTGTCCAACAGATTAGAGATATTCAATGAAACGACTTGTAAACCGAAAACTAGATGGGATCATTTCGTTTCTCCAGTTTAATTCTAAGGATGCCATTTTAACTCTAGCTAGCTTTATGTCCATTTATGTTCTTGACCTTCAACCGAGTAAAAATGAATGTTAAGAGTTTTATTTTGAAAATTTGAAGAATAATGAAAAATAATATTAACCATAAAAGGATAATATTAGATTTTAAAATGTGGTATCACATGTGAATGCAACGTTAATGATTCATGTGGTGTCACAAAGGCCTAACCCACATTCAAATTTTGACAAACCCCTCACCCAAATTGCACCCCTACTGAATAACCTTATTTATAATAGAACCATCTTCTTCTATAATTATGAAATTAACCTTATTTATATGTCTTTAAACTTTTAGGAAGTATAAATAAAAAAGAAAAGAAAACATGATCAGTTAGTTAGATAGATATTTATCAAATTGTGGGCCAGGGCCTTGATGTAAGGTAGCAAGTTATGGAGGCCCATATCCTTCCACAAACCTCACAAATCCATTTAGACCATCCATCTGCAATATTGTATATTAGTTGTTAGGCCCACCTGAAATGGCGGAATGCTGATTAATTGATCTGGTTCAGCCAAGGAAGAAGGGAAGAAATTTCATCCATCTTTCTTTCATTTTCATTTGTTTTCTCCCGACTATTCTAAAACTTAACGTCTGAAAATTTTGGATAACAAAACTCCATGATTGGTCTAGTCGTTTTACTTCCAAGATAAGAAAACGCAAAAAGGGGTTCGCCGGAGCTACGCCGGAGAGGCTGCCTGAGAAAGAGTAGCAGCCGTTGAGTCTCGGCCACCATCATTGGTTTCGTATGTTCAGTCATCAAAGTAGCAAGGAACAGACCGAGTAGGCAAAGCCCGAGAATTCGGTGGGCGTGTGGAGATTGATCCACTTGCCATTACTGTTACCACCATTGGTTGTCGTAGTGCTTTTCTCTAGCTCTAAGATCAACCCACCGTGCCTGTCGCCGGCGCCGTTGCCGCCGTTCAACCCATCAATGCCGGAACCCATCATAAAGATCCGATCTTGGTTTCTTCCTCCACCTCGAAGAGTTACTACGCACGGAGAAGATTTCAAGCCGTTATCGGGAATGGAGGCCACTACCTTCCAACATTTCTCTTTCACGTCATACTCCATGACCCCTCTCTGCTCTCCTCCGTTACCGCCACCCATGAAGCACCACCGTCCACTGGGAGTAGCAGCGATGGCCCTTGGGCTGGCACTGGGAAATGGCCACACTTCCTCTAGCTTGGACCAAGACCCAAGAGCTGGGTCGTAGCACTCGGCGTCCGATTTGAATCGCCCTTGGCTCTCGGTGCCGTACCCGCTGACCACCCAGAACCTGCCGTCGCCGTCGCAGGACAATCCTTGACANATGATTTCAATCTGCTATCAGCAATGGAGGTCATTACCACCCAGAATTTGTTGTCACCATCGCAGGACAATCCTTGACACTCGTCCCTCTCCTCCGCCATGGGTGGGAGAGCCCGCCACTCGTCCGCATCGGCATCGTACACCTCCGCCGATCGCAGAGCGTTCTTCTGGTTGTCGTGTCCTCCTGCCACGTACACGGACGACGGTCCCACGGCTGCGCAGGCGAAGAAGGACCGCCCCATCGACATGGGAGCAGCGCGGCGCCACCCCCCGCCGCGGACGAAATCACAAACATACACATCAGGAACAGAGTCCAGAGTCTCGGGGTCCCAACCGCCTAGCAAGACCAGCTTTCCCGAGATCGGGAGCGCCACGCAGTGACTAAACATGGGGATTCCACTGCAGTTGCCCCGAGTCGGCATCATCCTACGCCAGGTGTTCCTGCTTAGGTTATACACGCTAAGGCCGTACACGGGTGGGCAATGTCTTCGCCGGAGCCGCCTCTTCTCCTCTTGCTCCTTATTGTTGTCTTCAATCACCGATTCAACTTCTGCCTCGGCGGAGGTAATGGAGGTGAGGGCTTGAACAAGACACACAAGTTGCTCGGCAGTGCCCGTCCTCTGCCTTTCTCTGTAAAAAGAGGGATCATTGGCCAGGTTGCGCCACCTCCGGCAAACCGATTTCATCGCCAAATGGAATTGGTAGGGAACACGAACCAGGCAATCCATTGCTACTTCGTCGGGCAGGCCGGGAATCAAGTATTGCTGTTGCTGCTGCTGCAGCAGCTGAATGTCTTTCCCTGCTCCTCCCATATTCTTTTGTTCTTTCTTAGGGTTCCTCAGATATTTCAGAGAGGGAGAGAGAGAGGCGTATAGAGGCAACAAAGGCGAGTTCTGTTAAAGGGTGTGTTAGGAATGAATTGGAAGAGGAAGGTTAATTGGTTTGGATCTCCATCTAGGAAGGAAGGAGAGAGAGAGAGAGAGAGAGAGAGAGAGAGAGAGAGAGATGGATTGATTGGAATGTGGAGTGAGGGAAGGAGGGAAGGAGGGAGGGATTTAAGTAGGGAATGAAAACTTGGGATGTGGGTTTCACTGGATGACTGAAAGCAACTAAGCAAGGGGAAAGGGTGGCCGCGGCCCGCGGGGTGCCGGGTGGGGTGGGACCGTGGGGGGGCTCACCGGCTCACCGGCTCACCGGCTCACTTGGATGACCACTGACTATTAATTAACCTGTTGGCTAAATAGTGTCTCAGAGCGTAGAAACTTAAAAATCTAAAATGGTGACAAAATAACTAGTCTAAAGCTGACCGGGCCCATGAGATGCGATGTCATGCAACCAACACAGTTTCTCGTATAATAAAATAATAAAAATAATTCACCATATACATGCATGATGCATGTAATGTAAGCCATTGACTCTTTGATGGATCCATCATGCATCCATCAATGGGACAATATTGCTTTTCACCTGGGTTTGGGTCTAGATCCGGGTCCGACTGCGTTAATGTCCAATGACAAACCATCCTAGGCACATGCAACTTAGGTGCCCATTTGTGAGGATTAAAAAGTGAAGTACTGAAGTGGCTTCTGGCTTTTTGAGGTGGGTTTTACATGGACAAGGCAAAATTTTTAACCCTGCTTAGTGAAAATCTTCAGTTCAGCCCTCCTAAATGAACATTATCTCCATTTTCATGGATTCTGTTTAACTTCACATGAAGAGAATACAAACCAGAAAGTTCCTCATCACTCACAGTTGTGGTCTGTTCTTCACACTAACCTCATATGGGAAATATTTTTCATACTTGTATGTTATTATCCATGGAAAATGTTTTTAATATACGGTAAGGTCGGTGTGAGGAGCGCTTTATCTGGGCGCATCCAAGTGAATAGGAAGCCAAATCATGGGTTGCTTTTATTTTTATTTGAGAGTGTGTACTGAAATGGTCAGAGAAATCATGGAAAACAAGATAAACAGGAAAAGTGAAATCAAACTTGGGCAGTTGGGCCAACTCAAAGTTTTTTTTTTTTTTTTTCTATGTTATTTGTAAAAGGGTCATGGTGGATCCCTCCTTGAGTGGAGACAGGGGGCTGTCCTTTATATTCTATTCTTATTATTTTTATTGATAGATCTCCTCTATTCTATTATAACAAGTGGAGCAGCAGCTTTTATAAATTGAAGATTTGTTGGTTCATTTAGATTTACACTCAATGTATAATTAACAGCCTGACTCAACAAATGCACCGATCCAAGGTTCCATTTAGTTTTTTTGGTAGTTAGGTTCAATGTAGTTAATAGTGGAAATGGTGTCAGGCTGCTGAAATTGTCATTGTCACATATAATTAAAAGAACTATAAGCTAAACAAAACCTTCAGCATAGGAGAAAGGAAGGGAGAGCTAATTAGGGCACATCCCAGCTTTTATGGGCACACCCTTTGTAAAAGGACCAAAATTACCATATTAAAAATGCACTGATTTCATATGTAGGGTTTCTTATCTTCAAAATACCGCTTTTATGGGGTTAGGTTGTTCCATTATACTGCCACAGGCGAAATATGAGGATTCTAAATTGGAATTGTTGAGGTTTAGGGTCTCATCCAATAATGAATTCATGCATACAAAGAGATTTGGCAGAGGGTATTGCCCTTATTTGGGAGGATTTTCTAGACCTCAGTATTGTGTTAGAAAAAAGATTCTATCTCCCTTTATTATAGAAAAAGTGTTAGTGGAATCTATGTTTATTCAAAGTTGTATTACTGAACATGATTCTAACATTTGGTAATGTACTTTTATGTATGAAGAACCTAAGAGAAGCAGCCCGAAAGACATGATATTAGAAAGGCTTTGATCAACCAAAACTCTCATAATCTTGATGAAAACCCACCTAATTGGTTATCTCTTTTATGATGCCGGTTGATTGTGTGGTTATAACATTTTCTGGTATCATGCCTTTAGGCATCATAGTTGAACAAAAAATTAATTTCATTAAAAAAATAAATCAAAGGGTCTCTTACTGAGATCATTAAGGGTATGTGGATTTGTAGTGGAGAGTTCAATCTCAATGTTGGCAAAAATGATAAACAAGGGAGTATTAGAGATCAAAAGCTTTTCAAAACATCACTGAGACCATTCAGTAGGGGTCTGTCCTCCTTTATAAAAAATGGGATGTGCTCTAATCACTGCTCAAAGGAAAATTGTAGGGACAAAGCCACGCAGAGATCTAGAAAGTAAATACTTAGAAGCAACAACAACATAATCAATGGTGTGCCAAACAAAAAAAAAAAAATCCATTTAATGAATCACGTTTTTATTGATTATAGATGGAACTTCTCATGGTAGATGGCAGACTTTTTCTGAGTAATATATAATTTATTTTGTTATTTTTAGTTGGGAACTTGGGATCTCTTTTGGATAATTATTATAACCTTCAATTCTATCAAGATAACATTACATGGACTAGATAATATAAAATTACACATTATAGTCTAGTCCCAGTTTACAAATAAATAAATAAATGGTTAAAATATGGAAATGTAGATTGTATCAATGAAATAAGATTTGGAATTTTGGATTCTGGGTCAATCGATGGAGGATAGAGAGATTAAAAAAGATTGCATGGTCTAAAGTCATAATCATTATCAGCATGATCTTCATCATTGTCATCATCATCATCTTCTGATATTTGTTTCTGGTTGGTTAATGAATATCGTTTCGTCATTTCATTTTATTCAATGTTATATCCATCATTAAATTATGGGTGCTTAAATCTTATGAATCAAGATGATAATTTAATATAGGCATCAAAATGTCCATGAGAATTGTCATTATCATCATCTTCTGATATTTGTTTTGGGTTGGTTAATGAACATCGTTTCGCCATTTCATTTTATTCAATGTTATATCCATCATTAAATTATGGGTGCTTAAACCTTATGAATCAAGATGATAATTTAATATAGGCATCAAAATGTCCATGAGAATAAAAACAAGGTTTTTGAAGTCTATTTGTTTGAACCATGGTTTTTAACTGGTCAGGGGTCTAGTTATCGGTTCGAATGATCTGATTGTTCCAACCAAATGCTTGGCCCATTCTGACAAAAAAATATAAAAAATTAAAAAATTTTTAAAAATAAAACATGGTTCGAACGGTTAACCGCCTGGTTCAGCAATTCGTTGACCAAAATCAATGGCTTTGAGAAAAATCCGGTTTTTGGGGAAAACAAAACCAATCACCTGACCGGTTCCCGGTTTTTTCGGTCCAACCGTCTGGTCCAATCCAATTTTGAAAACCATGATTTCAACATAAAAAAGAGAGAAAAATTTTCAGACTGAAATATTTCAATTAAGAGCACATAAAATGAAGGAAAATTAGTTGCATGCAAAATGACTTTGGAGAGTGAAAATTCCAAAAGGTGGGTATTAATTGTTGGAAACTGACTTTTCTTCTAATTTTCTATAAATCATTTTCCAGGGTGGTCCTCTTGAATCCAATCTCGTAATACCCATATATGTCTCAACCATTTAGGTTTATTTCCAAATTAAGCCACACACTATAAAATACGAAATATGATTTATTTTCTTATTGAATACTTTTCGATATTGATTTTCCTTTATTTTAAGTACAACCAAACATAGCCTATGTCTCCATTTCCTTCACTATAATTAAATGGGTGAACATTTTTTAATGTAAACCATTTTTTCTTTTGCTTTAGCATGAAAATTTTGTATTCCAACCCTTTTACAAGAAAACAAATGCTGAAATGCAGCATGCACGTTTCTTTCTTCTCTTAATAGCAAAGGCTTAATTTCCAAATCTTCACTGAATATAAATTAAAGTAGACTGATTTCGGCACATACTATGCTTTTGGAGTCTTGTAAGATCAAGACTGTGTGGTAAGTGGATTTAGCATAGAGATACTTAAAAAACCTAGCTGTACACATAGGAAGATAGAAAATAGAAAAAAAAAAAATCAAAGAGAAAGGAAACCTTTCATTATTGACAAAATTACAGTAGACAATATTCAAAGTGAATGGCGTGAGAAAGTGGCATGGCTGATGATGACATATGGCGAAGGGAGAGAGAGAGAGAGGCAAAGTGCATATGCCCATCATAATCATCATCGTCACCTACGTACATGACCCTCAAATTTATTTAATAGGAATTTGTAACCGAAGCCAGAATTGAAGTCGAGTGGAGTGGAGTGGGGGAGGGGGCGTGGGGACTTTGATGAAGTCTATCAAAGAGGACAAAAGTTATTGAATTCTTGGTCTGAGATATCTCAATAAAGAAATGAAAACAAAGTGTTCTTCTAGAAGCCTTTCAATTCTACAGTGCAGAGGGAGGAAAGGATAAGCTCCTAGAAGCTTCTAGTTCCATTTCTGTCTTTTGAAAGACAGCCACTACTACTAGTCATTTTGGATTTTTGGGTCTCGGGAAAGATGGAATACGGTTTTGGGCTAGGGATGTGGATGGGTTGGGTTAGGGTATTGATTCTTCAACTCAGGTTGAATTTTGGGTTTTGCTGTCCTCACCCACCAGTCAAGATACTTTTATAATTTTGTATGGATTTTATTCTTATAATCTTAAAGTTTAAGGATTTCTTTTCTTATTTATTTTGTTTTGTTTTGGTTTTCTTTCATTATGTAAGAATTAAGAAGTGACACTTTGGGACCCATAAACCAAATCTCAACTTAAAATTAATTGCTCCTAGAGTATTGGGTTTTCAAAATTTATTATAAAAAATATTATAGAAAGATTGGGTTGGGTTAAATCAGTATTTTTTTTTGTTAAAACAATATTGGGTTGAAACCTTATGGGGTCATGTTGGATCAGTCCGGTCCGATTCAACAAAAAAATATTAAGTAACTAGAATTGAATCAAACCCTAATTTTAAACCCAAAACCAAACAAATTATTTCTCAGGACAATCGAGTTTTAAGTCAGTTCAGAACTAGGTAAAACTGGTTCTGAACCAACAATGAATCAGGACAGCAGATCAAGAACTGGAATTGATCCATTAGTATTAGACTTGTTCATGGGTCGAGAA